TCGTTCTATTAGAGGTTTTACGGTAAGCTCAATTATCTTGATTCCTGTACAAGATATCTACAATTGGTCAACTGATGAAATATTGGTGATATTACGATAATTAATTTATCAGCTAAAAATGTTTGATAGCTTCTGAGAGTACCGAGATAATTGAGCTCAAATTACACGTATAGGCTGGGCATCAACTAGAGCAAATAAGGCAACTTTAAACTTTCAGCGAATTTATCTCGGTTACTGTAGAAGATATATCAAAAACTGGTCTACTGGTGAACTATTTTTAATGTTATGATTAGTAATTTATTAGTTGACAATTGTTTGATATCTTGCAAAAGAGCCGAGATAATTGAGCTCAAAGTGCACTTGTAGGGTGAGCGAAGAGGAAATAAGGTAAATTTCTAATTTGAGTCAATTTAACTCGGCTCCTATGAAAGATACCAAAAAGCTATTAACTGATAAATTATTTTTTGTATTATGATAAACATTTTGTTAGTTGAGAATTTTCTGATATCTTTTACAGAAAATGAGATATAAAGGCTCGAAGTTGACGGGTTTACGGTTATCGAAAAGTTTTCAAAAATGATGTAAAAAAATGCCTTTAGTTCCTCACAGAAAAGTTTCCAAATTGTAACTCAAGTTGGCATAGTGTCATTTTTCAAATGCTTTTCAGTGTTTTTTTTGTGTTGTGCTTTTTGAAACTTGACCTCAATGTCCATCCATCATTTTATTATTATTATTATTATTCTCGTTTTTTGTTCTCGTCTACCTTCGTCATACTACATTTGTTTTAGTCGAGACATACAATTTTTTAGAAGAATTCTGAACACTCCACAATTCTTCTTTCTCATTGTTTTATCTGAAAAAATTGAAGCTAAAGTTCCAGAAGCCACTCTTCTTATCCTAAAAAATGTCTCGCTACTGGAGGAGAATCAGCAAACCAGGTTTCCTTTTTTTTATGCACTTACTTAAAAAAAACTAAATTTAGACTGAGAAAAAAATCCATGGGTAAATTCCCATACCAAAAAACATATTAACAGCAGCCAAATTCCCAATGAGATCATAAATGCGAAAATAACCAGATTAGGCTGGGAAGGCAAATCAAAGGATTTTCTGTTTTTTTTTAAATATTTTCGGATGATAACTTTCTTATATTCCAGAGGTGCCAACTTCGGTTCCGGAGATCAAAGTCAGCGTTCCGCAAAGTACATCAACGTTGTCGATCAGCAGTGAGTTTTTATTTGTTGTTTCTTTTCAGTAGGTCAAAAAATAGAAAAAAGTATTACGAATTTTGTCCATGTTCAGGAGCCTGAAGCTCGGCAGTCAAGTTTCCGATAACTTTGAAAATTTCGGAGGTTATAAAATAGACCTAGATTAAAAACTTTGCATTCACAAAACTTTTTGGAAATTCCTAGTTTTCCAGCTATTTGCCGATTTCGGAAGGACATTTTTCTCCGGTTTATGTACTGTAAGCAGGCGTTTTTCTGAAATCGGCAAATCTTTGAAAAACTAGGAATTTTTAAAAAATTATACAAATGCAAAGTTTTTATTCTAGGTCTGTTTTATCACCTTCGAAATTTCCAAAGTGATCGGAAACTTGACAGCCGAGCTCCAGACTCTTGAAAATGGTCTGAATTCGCTGAAGATTTTTTTGTATATCTTATTGACCGGTACTGGGCCAACAAGTTCAACTCCTCGAGGGGCTTATATGAACCACAGTTTGACGAAATTCGTACTTTTTCATATCCTCGTTCATTTCACAACTCGATTCCTTCAAACCCTCGAATTTATCTATTTTTGACTGAAAGCGTAATATTTAAGACAACTGGTAGATAATTGTATAAACGTTTGAAAAAAAAAATTTGATAGCTCAAACGACTTCCAAAGGCTGATAATCAATTTGGGTTGGTCAGTTTTTTTAAATCCTAAACAAAGTGCAAATATAAACATTATAAGCGTTGTATACCTTTAAATGTGTACTAGGTACTAGGTATCACTTTTCATACCTCCCAGTGCTTATGGTCTACCTTTTATCTAGTCAGAAATGCATACCAACACTTTGATTTAGTAAGGTCCAAATCAGGATAACGGTCTTAGTCTAATAAATACTGCATATTTGATATGTGATGAGTTTCAGACAAAAAAAGTTTAATTCTAAGAAGGTTTCCTGTTTAAATAAGATAAGTATGGGGTCCCCTATGCTTTTTCAGATATCATATTTGAAAATTGATTTTCTTGGAACTGGAACCTCTTAAGCAAATACGAACAACACATTTTAAAGGTTCGCAATCTCAGCTTTCTGATAATATATGTAGGTCTCAAATCAAAGTCCCACTCCCCAGTTATAACCGCCCAGCTAGAACATATGGACCGCCATAGGCCAATTTACCTACTAGAATGCCGTCATTTTACCAACATAGCCTCGATTTTGATACATCATAGTTTTTTCTACCTCTGACTTCAAAGCTCCCACGACCTATTGCGTGAAACTCAGTTCCTAACCACCAATTTCACAAAAAAGTACACCAACGATCTATCACGCGGTATCCTGACATTTTTTCTTACTCCCAACAACACACACATATCCCAACCAGTATCCTTTTGCGGGCGGGGGGGGGGGGGGGGGGGGGGAACTCATCAAACATATCATTAGGGGCGTCAAGTTTTGAGAGGCATTCTTATATATTTTGTGCTAGAGCTCCCCACCACGCCAAACGTCTTCTTCTTCTTATTCGCTGTCTTCATCTAACTTCCCTTGTCGTTGTCGTCTTCATCCTTCTTCTTCGTTTCGCCTTGTAAGAAAACCTGGTTTGCTCTGAAGCTGTGCCCCGCTTAGCTCATTAGTCGCCTTCTTCTCGTCTTATTCATCATTCGAGAGGCGAGCGCATCCTTTTAATTTTGAAGAGGTAAGGGTTTTTGTTTATCTAGAAGTTTGATTTGAATTTGTTGAATGCGTCACTTGTTCTCTCGGATGGGGCTAATTTTTCTACACAGTTCAGACTGACTAGACCCTCGAAGACTAGAATCTTTACGGTCAGCATCAAAAACCTGTAATAAAAGGGCTCCCAAGTTTGAGCCTATTCGTTTTGGCTCCTAAGCAAGACATCAAATATATGTCAACTGTTAAAATGATAATATGATAAACAATTTATCAGTTGATAACTTTTGGATACCTTTGACAGGAACCTAGATAAATAAGATCAATTTTGACGGTCTGGGAGGCATTTTATGAGAACCAGAAGATTATTGCCGTTTCCAGGCAGCGTGAATCTTTCCGGAAATTTGTCAACCTACTTTTGAGAGCAGAATAAGCCTAAATGATTCCAAAAGAAGAGGGTTTTTGTAATTTCATGACCTCAGTTTTTGATACTATAATAACCAAAATAGACGGGCATCACCTCGCTGCTATTTCGGATTTTCTGCGAAAATTTGAAAAATTTTGGTACAGTGGGGACTTTTCTAGGGTCCGCTAACCGAAAAATAGACACACACACACGGTCATTGTTAATAGTAAAGATGGTTACGGTTAGCAATAGGGACCCTTGTATTGCAGGTTTTATCGGAGCTTGTTCTGAAAATTTCCGCAAGTACTGGACCAAAATAGAGCCTATGATTGTAGTTGACAGCTTACTTTTTTACACTATAATTTTTAAAGAAGCTAAAGAGCGGATATATTTTTAGCTTTTTTGGTAGTAATTTATTAGAATAATATGAAGTTTTGTTTAATTAATAGAAACTACTTATTCTCCTTGAAATTAGTTGTTGTTTCGAACCCAAGACATAATTGAAATTGTGTGTTTTTATGTGCACTACAAGTCATCCTTTCAAAAAAAACAAGGAACAAAAACTGCATATGTTTTATGTCTACACATTCAAGTTTTTTTCCTCCCTCTCTCGCTTTTTATTCCTTACGACGAACGGAAGTATCTCATTCTGATGACTGAAAACTGACACATGTCTCTTTAGAAGAAAAGTGTCTTCAAAACTTCTTCTCAATTTTCTCCATTCCTTCTTTACAGAAATGAATGGGTCATATCGTGCGCGGGTGCTCAGTAGGAACGGATGCTCACCGCCGTGGATGGATCGGGGATTCGATTTGTCGAATCGAAGTACGCCGTGTACGTCACCAGCAATAGGCTCAACGTGAGTTTTGTTTATTGTTTGGGGGAAGGGTTGTAATTGATGTGTGAGACGTGGGAAATCGTCTACTACAGTAAATTTACTATTCTTGTGTTTACCGAGTTTTAGTTGAATGGGAAATGAGACAATCGGAATTCCGGCTGGCTCATCAGGATTTGTGATTCTCAAAGACTAAAAAGGAAAGAGTTTCAGAACGATCTGAAAAGTCCTTTTTTTCAAATTTCAGATTTGGCTTATTTCAACTGAAGAATCAAAATAACCGTATTTAATCTGATGCCCTGGCTTTCAACTTTGAACTTTGATCCAATTTATCTCGATTCCTGTGAAAGATATCAATTTTGATTAACTGATAAAATAATTGTGATATTACTATAAACATTTTGCTAGTTTACAACTTTTTGATATCTTTCACAGCAACCAAGATAAATTGGCTCAGTTCCTAGTATAGTGTTCACCGTGTTTTTTCTCTATTTTCCAAAGTTCAGAATTTGCCTTATTTTATCTGAAGAACTGAATTATCAAACAGTTTTAGACTCAAAACCAAAATCGAAAAATCCAGTTTTTCAGTTTCAAGAATAGTATTTCCTAGATCATTTTTTCTCACACCTTTTCCTAGTACAGCAAATGTACTTAAAGGTGGTGTACGGTGAAATTTTTTATTGCATCAAAATGTGCAGAAATGCATGTAGATTGACATAAAAATAAAGAAAAAATTCAAAAAAAATTCCTTCAGCGAGAAAAACGCATCGAAAAATACGCTGAAAGCCCTTAGGGACGAGGTTTTT